TAATCCATTTTTATTACTAATATAAAAACAAGTTCATTCTTTTTTATGTTAATAGTACCCAATAATTTTTTTGCATATGTTGAGCACCACAAACCACGTGTTAAAGCATTTTTAAGTAGTATATAATAGTATATAGCTAGCCAATAGTATTCAATAGTTGTCTTTAGTAAATGTTGAGCACCATAAACCATAAGTATATTAAAGCATTCTTAAATAGTATATAATAGTACACAGCTTGGCAATAGTACTCAATATTTGTATTTAGATCTTTAATTCTGTTAGCTATGTATCAAAGCTGTTTCAACAATAATATAGAATCGCAGAGATAATTAATAGTATACTACTGTTTATAGTGCTGTGGACTTTGTACTAAAAAGGTTTTAGTAGTCTCAAAGTTAAAGTGGAACTTAAAATTTGCTTCAACTATGATGACTAAAATTCACATTACAGTTCTTAATACTAAGTTTGGATTCTCAGTGCTCCTTGAAATCCTGACACGCAAGACTGTTCCTAAGAACACCTCAGAAGCACTACAACTTTGTGTAATATTGGTTTACATTTATACACAGTAAATTAAGAACAGTATTTCATACATAAATTAGCAGATATAATATTCTTCAGCATTTGCTTTCACATAATATACATTAATTTGTTAATAAACATTTTGCTGTAAAACAAAGGCATAGTCTGCAAAGTTGAGGATGGTTTAGAAACAATTAATAAGTCTTTACTGTGGTTAACCATCCAAGGTTAAAAGCAACATATATTTGCCTATCTCATTTATTTTCCAATTTTGGTAAAAGGAAATCAATAGTCTCTTTCTTTGCTTTAAATAAAAGATTATCTCAATATTAGTTAGCTGATAATTGTCTAATTGTGAGCCTTAGAGACATTAGTCACAAATGTGCTAGATATATTCTGATCATTCTAATTCTGTTACTTTGTACATGCGGCTTTCACTAATTGCTTTTTTTTATATTTGGATATCCACACAAAGCTACTTAAGAATTCTCTGCACCAGCTATCCCTAGTTCTGTCTTGATAGACTAGAAATATGGTTGCTACTCATTAGCACCCACCACAAACTATTGTCCAATGAAATAAAGGGATTTGTTCATTAACCTTAAAAACTCATTGTCCCAAAGTGCATATTTTCTTTTTTGGGGGGGGTTAAGGAATGCAATCAATGTACCCAAAAATCCATAATCCAGCACTCTATCTAACTGGCCACATTCAGCCCTACATTAAGTTATAGGCTGTCATATTCATTAAAAGTAACAAAGTTACATATTTAAATATGAACTGAACCTACAACTGTAAAACTCACATATAGTAACAAATGTTGGATATACAAGAATATTTAGTGTAAGAGTTATTATTTAGTTCATTTAGTGATCTAATATTTAATGATTATTAAGTAACTTGGTACGAGTCATATGTTGTGTGTGTGGTTTAATTGTTGTGAATTGACATCACATTACTCGAACCTTCTGTATTTTTCACGTTACTTTAAGTGAGTATCGTTACATCATAGTGTCTCATAGTTTATATAAAGATCTAGGCCTCAGTTGGGCAATATATAGTTACGACAAATTTCATTATATAACTTAGTACGAGTCATATGTTGTGAATGTAGTTTAATTGCTGTGAAATGACATCACATTACTTGAACTTCCTATATTTTTCTCATTGCCTTAACCCTTTCACAATGGGCTCGGTATAAAATACACAAGTTCAAATATACATTTGCACACGTTAAGTATTTATATTCTAACTTTAATGCTGTATGTGTATCTTCACAAGACTTGATAAACATTTAGTAATGATTCCATGTCTTTTGTACACAAAAAATCAGATTTTTAATGAAGTATTTTTACAAAAGATTTGTTTGTGAAAATATCAAGTTTGTATGTTACTGGTTTGAGTGCAAAGTGATTTTCATGTCATGATTAAAAAACTATTCTTCATCCCAAAAATCTCAAATATTATTTGTGTAATCTCTAAAATCTCCTAAATACATTTCAAACATTTGTTTTCAGTAAATCTTTATATTTTGTCTGTTATTTTCTCTACCCTTACTATACGGGATCTGTCAATTTGACCAACCTCGTAACCACCATAAAAAATTAGGAAATAAATATAAATTTGGCTTTTTACGTTCTAGAATGACTACAAATTATAACACAAAAATCCAAATATTTAGACTAAATAGCTTAAATCTCATAACTTTCTACATTTATATATATTTGTTATTTTTATTATATTGGCCTTCCAGTCATGCCTGGCTAACACTAGTAACAATACAGAAGTTACAATGACACAGCGCACGTGCACTGTATCCAATAATATAAAACTGACCTTTAGTCTTTACAAAGTGACCTGTCTTGGCTGTGCTTTAGTGGACTAGTATTTTGTAAAATACAGTCACTTTCAGTTATAAAACATTACGTATGTATATACATTATTACTAGTTACAAATGAGCTCTTAAACTTATTTTTCTTAAAACATAGAACAGTAAATGAAGTAAAGCAAACAATAATCTCTTTTTGTTACAACCTTTGTAGTTGGTTGCTGCTTCTTGTAGCTTGCTAAACCTTGAGAAATTCCACACAAGGAGGATGTGAAACGAAAAAATTTGTTTATAGGTTTTACATATACATTTGAATAAGCAAAAAAATCATAAATTACTATATTGATACCATAGAATTCCATTATAATTTATAAAGTTTAGTAACTAAGCTATATTTTGGTCTAAAAAATATGAAATTCCAAGAAGACTAAAGACACAACCTACCTTCTTGAGATGGCGTCCTAACACAGGAAAATGGCTGAGAAAGCCACTATGAGGACATTCTGAGCTTTCGATTGGTTATTCATAAGTCATATACATAAGTGTATATAAGGGACCGTTTCCAAAAATAGAAAGAGGTGAGTAGGGCCACTGTGTTTGATTCAGTACATGAGTGTTATCTCAGCAAATGGAAAACATAGGAAGTTCTTATTTTATATTCTAGCTTGCTAATATCGGTAATTTGAGTTCCTAATTCATAAAAAACTATAGACATCACAAACATTTAATTTGAACCAGTGCTGCATTCAACATACCACATGACACACAAAAATCGATGTTTAAGTTTTTTTTAGTATTTACTTTTAAATTAAGAAATTGAATAATGTATTATACTAAAACTTGAATTATAATCTACAATTTGATAATAAACTTATTGAAATAAGTTTATAAAATAGCAGTTCAATAAAAGTTTGAATGCAAGTCAACAAACACGATGACATGGCCTTTGATCTGTGACTCGTAGCGATAGGATTAAGTGAGTATCGTTACATCATAGCATCTCATAGTTTGTTGAATGTTCTAGGCCTCAGTTGGGCATTAGGCGACCAAGTGAGTGCAAGTTAAGTAAGAAAACGTAATGTTAGTGAAAGTTAAGTTAGGCTGCGTGATTGTTAGATTAGCCGTAATGAACAATATTTTAAAGTGAGTTTCACAGTTTAACAGAGATAAGGATAATAATTTGTCTTGTCAAAGGGTGTTCTAAAGTAATTGAACCCATCTGTGAACTTTGACAAAAAGGGGAGAACTATTTAAAGTTCTGG